GTTTGTGAAAAGTTATAAGACATGACTTAATTGACTTAATTTTTCAAATATTTGGACGAAATTAAGATAATTTACAAGTTTATGGACCCAATTGAGACCGGAAAAAAATGATGACCCATTTGAGATTGACAAACAAATATGAAGACCAAACGAGGGTTTAAACCTAAAATATATTAAAATTTAGGATAGAGATATATTTCAATTTTGCATCAAACTTAGAGAAAAATATTATTAATTATTTTACTTTAAATATTATTAATCATTTAACTTATGTAGCATAATTAAATATTATTAATTATTTTAATTTAAATTTAAAATCCATAACTTAAAAATTGGTTGGTTGGTTGGCACTATAGTGGTGATTTAGAATCACCTAATAATTTCTCTACGAAATAACCGTGTCATCAATTCAACGTTGGCCTACTTGGAGAAACTACTCTAGAAGAATATTTAAGGAGAAAAATATTAAAACAAAAAATTAAGAGCCTTTTTATGAGCTAAATTAACTTTTAATTATAAATTAGTTTATAAACAAACCAAATTTAACTGTTTCAGAGAAATATTTGTCAACAAGTCATGGCAACAAGACTCTATTGTTATCCGATATGACATATTCTTATTAGAAAGTGAGTTAGTGAAAGATAACACAGAAAAAGAAGGCATCTGAATTATTACTGCTGCCGATTTATTGATATTGAAACATAGGATTTTGATATAGTTGTCAGAAAAATTGGCAACTGAAATCGGTAAGAATGATTATCCACGAATAGGAAGATGGTCTCCTTTTAAGAAGGAATTAATAAGAGTGAGAGCTTCACTAGGTTTGTTCAATGGCACCAAGTGACCAGCTCCTCTCACTGTCACATACGTCAATCCTTCATATTCCACTGTTCTTCCTCCAACCTGCTTACAACCAAACATCTCACACATAAACAAATTACATCATAATTAATCAAAATTTACCACTCATATATGTATATACCTGATTATCATGGTACCATGTTCGCCACCTAGATTTGAGAGGTAATCCAAGAGCCTCAACGCAATATCTTGTCCCTATCACTGGCACTCTTCCATCTGCGTCTCCACTGTACCACAGACAAAACATCTCTTTAATTTCTTAGATGTGAGTTTGAACTTTCCTACTCAACTTATCAGAAATGGAACCTAATTAATGCAGTCATGACATAACAATGGTTATTGGAAAAAAAGAATCCCTGCATGGGTAGCACATGAGTGAGTCACCCTTTTGCTCAAACCAAGTAAAAATTTCATCTTTTCATTAATGCACATTGTTTGTATCTAAAGTTAGCAATCATGTTAGTGATGAGACACTTTTTTATCTTGAAAGAGAGAAAGATAAATACCTGTATATCCATATCTTAAGCCCACCCTTTATGAGTTTGGTGTAGATGGGTAGGACCGAGAACACAGAGAAGTTGTAAGCTCTCAATATGGAATTACTAGGAAAATCATGAAATTAATATTCAATGTTCATTGGTAAAAGTTAATACTGTAGATACATTCAAGGAACAAATTTAAGTGCTTACTTGCAAACCTTCCATGCCACGTTAGTGGCTCTTTTAGTGTCTGCATGAAATGATGATTGAACATCTTTTCTGTTGAAATACTCTTCTGCATAATTGGAATAGCAAGGATCATAGCCCCCAAAAATTCTCATCCTTCGTTCTCTATGATAATTTCTCACCTGCAATAACCAAATTCTCCCTTAACTTAAGCAACTCGGCATGGAATAAATTAACGGTAATAATTATAAATCTGTGATGTTATTTATCAACCTTGGTAAATGATTCGGGGCCGTCACTGTTGCTATCATCAGCTATTGAGGATGTACTGTTTGAATGACATGCCGGGGCATAAATGTTGTATATGTCAATTTCTGAGTAATCTCGGAAGACTTCGTTCATGGCCTTGTTGCATTCATTAGACCATTCAAATTGTTTAAAATCGCATACTTGTTTTGCTTTCTCATATTGCTGGTCTGATATAACTGCGTGGCTCCATGCATATTCCAGAAGACCTTTGTAGTCATAGTAATCATCAGTCTCTGGGTTACCTACCTGAACATGTGAATCTATTTAGAAAGCAAAGAAATCATCTGGGATGCATGCATATTCAGACTTTTGAAGGTCACTAATAGTTCTTGAGATAAAGCTTCAATTTTCACAAAAAGAATGAGCTGTGTCCGATTTACTTACAATAAAACCTTTAAGATTAATAAAGGGGTATTTGTTGCTATCTCTGTTTCGATCAAAGATTAACTCTGCAAGCTGAGGGATATAGTGACCTGGAAAATATGGAAAATGGAATTGTGATGATGGCAGTAAGGTATGTGACAGAGAAATCACAGTGAAGTTAAACACTGACCACCGTAGCTTTCTCCTGATATAAAAAAGTCCCGGGATTTGAACTGTGGGAATCTTTGTAGCCAATTCACCAAGAAATTGTAAGCATCCTCAGCTGATTCAAGTATTTCAACAAATATCATCACTTCAATCAACAAAATCAGAAGAATTTATCTTTTTGTCAGGGAAACTCACCAACTAAGTTATCCTCTAAGATGGTGTCAGAAGAGGTGTTGGTATAAGAAAATCCAACTCCAACAGGGGACTCCACGAACAACAAATTTGCTTCTGCAAGGGTTTCAAGTTTTGAAGCAAGAAGCAGAATAATCGGAAGCAATAAAAGATAACAACAACCAAACAAAGAGACCAGAAACTCCAAACCTTGATTCCAGGAATATGGGTTGAAATGTAGTCCTTCCCCGTTTTTGCTGACTATAAGAGGTCCAATCTCAACAACGGCACCATACCCAATAGAGGAGCATCCAGGTCCTCCAAATGCCAACCAATGAAATGGTTTCAATACATTAAGATCTCTAACTATGGAGAACATGAGAGAAATTAAAAGTGAAAAAGTATGTAATAAAAGGAGAAGAAGAAACCTCCATTGAGCCAGAGAAGAAGAGGCTTGTTGGAGGGTTGAGACTGAGCTTCAAAGAACCAGTAGAAAAGGGCCCTTCCATGGTTTTCATTGACAGTGATGTAACCTGAAAAGTGTGAGATTGAGGGGGTTGAAGATTGACCAGGAAGATCGATTATTCTATCAGACTCGTATGCTGCATTTACTGCAGATGCTTTAATGAAGAAAGTACTCAGAACATAGAAACATATGAAAGGGAGAATGAGAATAACATTGATGATGTTCATCTTGAAAAGGGACATCTTTCGCTAAACCATTCAGTTCATTATTTTCTTATAGTGCTAACATTGCTGACTCTCATGAAATCACTCGGAATTCTCGGAAATGGCCGATGTACACGTGGAACTGTTTTTTTTTTTTTTTTTGTGTTTGTGTCCTTTTACAGTGATTTATATAATACTTTATATAGTTTAAAAAATTGTGCATGTTTTATAATACAGATAATATTTGTGTTTTTGATGTGAACAGGTACGTTTATGGCCAGTGTTCACCAACCCCTGTGGTGGTCCCTTATCTGCATAAACTGCACTACATCACATCAATATTCTACCCAATTCAACGCATCTTTGGCCTCATTCACTTGTTTTATTTTCCTAAGGCTTCGTTTGGATAGAAGGGATTGGATTGGAACATATTTGAGAGTGAAAGATACACTAAAAATAAGGGTAATACGAAAAAAATGGCAATTAAAAATAGTGGGAAAGTCACTATTGTTGAGAATAAAATAATAAAAGTTTAAGAAGTGATTATTTTGGTATAAACACTAACCCTTTGTTCACTTGAATGGATCTCGAAGAAAGTGATTGAATAGATTTGAGAAGATTTGAAGATAAATTTTTTTGTTGTTTATTTGAGTGAATTTGGAGGTAATTGAGAATGAATTTGAAAACAATAGTTTGTCAGAATTAATGTAGGATTTGATTGATGTGACAAACTAAAAGAATTTATTTCCAAATACATTCTCACTTAACTCCAAATTCACTCAAATAAATAACTAACAAAATTTATTTTTAAATCTTCTCAAATCCACTCAATCATTATCTTCCAAATCCATTTGTGTGTTCAGAATCTGGGTTTATCTTTTCTTATCTAACAATAATAAAAAGTAATTTTAGTTCTACAAGCAACATGTTGCTTCCCGTAACTACACTAATAAGTAATTTGTATAAAGTTGTTGTATTTTATATAATTAGTAAATTATATAAAGCTTGTTAATTAATTAATTAATTAGTAAAAATATAGTAATTAATAAATGTGTAACTATTAAGTTATAATCATCTAATAAATAAAATAGAATATTAATTTTAAAAATTTATTTAATTAATAAATTTATTGTAATTAAAGTTGTAAATTGAATAATTAAATTAGTGTAATAAATAATAATAATTTTAATTAATTATATTAAGCGGCGAATGTGTCTGAAATATTAATACAAATTATTTTAAACTAAAAGATAATATTAAAAATAAAGGATTTAATTAATTTAAAAAATGAAAAAGGTTAAACTGAATTTAAATAAAATGCTAAATGACCGAAAGTATAATTTAGTTTTTATATATAAAAAAGAATGATAACTCGTAAGATGACTTGCAAATTGTGATGGATTCGAACGAGTAAATAATTGTCTTTTCTATAAACTCAAGATATCACAGAAATTTGTTGTGTAAAAAGAAAATCATGAAAACTTATCAAAATTAGTTACTTTTAATTTATTTTAATAACCTCAATTTTAATAAATATTTAAAATATGTTACAATGACTCATAACTCAACTTAGTTTCTACTTCAATCTATATAATATATAAGAATATTATATTAAGGTTAACTTTAAAGTAATAGGATTATGAATTTTCATTTCGATGTTTTTAAATCGATGAATGTAGCACTAAAAAATTTCTAACGAAAATGAATTCCTAAAATGAAGTGATTTTGAGAAATAAAGTGATGCGATTTCGTTTAATATTCAGATATGCCATGAGCAGTAGGAATTAGGAATACTTGGACATAAAACAACTCACTTGAATATTGAAATTAAAAGTGCTTAGTGCACAAAATATAGATTTCAGAACAAGAGAAATAGGTAAGTTGTGAAGTGTTAAGTTTCAAGAGGCTGAAGAATTAATTTGGGATTCTTCTCTTGAGATTTTGTTTTCTTTTTGGGGGAGAAGGGTCGAATAATGAATCGTGAGAAGCGGCTCAAGTGATCCTGGAGTCCTTCCATCTGGTAATGACCAAACCGCCAATCTCGATCTATATAAGGTCGCTGTACTGGCTCATCAAGTCCACCTGTCACGAGAACCAAGAAGACTTCTTAGAAACTTTTCTGTATAACCCTCACAAGAAAATTCTAACTATGTCTATACCTATGAACATAAGCTTTTAAATGTTTCACATGGATTAACATAGCCAAACATTTTCTTTTTCAACATGATCACCTTGACACAAGGTGCTATATTTGCCTGGCGTAGCCTTTCTCAAAGGAGCCAAAACCCAAATTCAGCGGGAGGCATTCAGGTCTGAGGGAACAGTATTCTGATACATGGTCTGAGGGAACAGTATTTTGGGACTAATGTATAGCAGGTTCATTTTTCTTAATTATAGGCATATGCAATCTCAATTAGACATTCTAAATCTAACTGCCGTGGATCTTAAATGGGTTTTATATAATTATAGTTGATTTGGTTCACAGTCCATTGTAATTGATTGTCTTGACTGAAGTAATACTTATTATGCAACTGCTGTCTAAGCCATTAACTATTGGGTTTTCATGTAACTTGTTGCCAAAGTGGCAAGGCATCAACTAAATTAACAAGGCGAGATCATACTAATACAGTTAAAGAACAATCGGAAAACTTTGCAATCATATCATGAGTAAATAATTACCTGCATACATTAAACGGTGTTTATTCACAGCCCGATAAAATGGTCTCGTTTTCTTCTCTTTGGCAGCTCTTTGGAGTTCATCCCATGCTCGTTCACGATCTTCACGTGTAACTTTGCCCGTGTTCACAATCTGCAATCAAGAGCCCATAGGAAGTGATTCAAAACTAGACAGAGCAAATGTCACGGAANTGTTGCATTCATTAGACCATTCAAATTGTTTAAAATCGCATACTTGTTTTGCTTTCTCATATTGCTGGTCTGATATAACTGCGTGGCTCCATGCATATTCCAGAAGACCTTTGTAGTCATAGTAATCATCAGTCTCTGGGTTACCTACCTGAACATGTGAATCTATTTAGAAAGCAAAGAAATCATCTGGGATGCATGCATATTCAGACTTTTGAAGGTCACTAATAGTTCTTGAGATAAAGCTTCAATTTTCACAAAAAGAATGAGCTGTGTCCGATTTACTTACAATAAAACCTTTAAGATTAATAAAGGGGTATTTGTTGCTATCTCTGTTTCGATCAAAGATTAACTCTGCAAGCTGAGGAATATAGTGACCTGGAAAATATGGAAAATGGAATTGTGATGATGGCAGTAAGGTATGTGACAGAGAAATCACAGTGAAGTTAAACACTGACCACCGTAGCTTTCTCCTGATATAAAAAAGTCCCGGGATTTGAACTGTGGGAATCTTTGTAGCCAATTCACCAAGAAATTGTAAGCATCCTCAGCTGATTCAAGTATTTCAACAAATATCATCACTTCAATCAACAAAATCAGAAGAATTTATCTTTTTGTCAGGGAAACTCACCAACTAAGTTATCCTCTAAGATGGTGTCAGAAGAGGTGTTGGTATAAGAAAATCCAACTCCAACAGGGGACTCCACGAACAACAAATTTGCTTCTGCAAGGGTTTCAAGTTTTGAAGCAAGAAGCAGAATAATCGGAAGCAATAAAAGATAACAACAACCAAACAAAGAGACCAGAAACTCCAAACCTTGATTCCAGGAATATGGGTTGAAATGTAGTCCTTCCCCGTTTTTGCTGACTATAAGAGGTCCAATCTCAACAACGGCACCATACCCAATAGAGGAGCATCCAGGTCCTCCAAATGCCAACCAATGAAATGGTTTCAATACATTAAGATCTCTAACTATGGAGAACATGAGAGAAATTAAAAGTGAAAAAGTATGTAATAAAAGGAGAAGAAGAAACCTCCATTGAGCCAGAGAAGAAGAGGCTTGTTGGAGGGTTGAGACTGAGCTTCAAAGAACCAGTAGAAAAGGGCCCTTCCATGGTTTTCATTGACAGTGATGTAACCTGAAAAGTGTGAGATTGAGGGGGTTGAAGATTGACCAGGAAGATCGATTATTCTATCAGACTCATATGCTGCATTTACTGCAGATGCTTTAATGAAGAAAGTACTCAGAACATAGAAACATATGAAAGGGAGAATGAGAATAACATTGATGATGTTCATCTTGAAAAGGGACATCTTTCGCTAAACCATTCAGTTCATTATTTTCTTATAGTGCTAACATTGCTGACTCTCATGAAATCACTCGGAATTCTCGGAAATGGCCGATGTACACGTGGAACTGTTTTTTTTTTTTTTTGTGTTTGTGTCCTTTTACAGTGATTTATATAATACTTTATATAGTTTAAAAAATTGTGCATGTTTTATAATACAGATAATATTTGTGTTTTTGATGTGAACAGGTACGTTTATGGCCAGTGTTCACCAACCCCTGTGGTGGTCCCTTATCTGCATAAACTGCACTACATCACATCAATATTCTACCCAATTCAACGCATCTTTGGCCTCATTCACTTGTTTTATTTTCCTAAGGCTTCGTTTGGATAGAAGGGATTGGATTGGAACATATTTGAGAGTGAAAGATACAATAAAAATAAGGGTAATACGAAAAAAATGGCAATTAAAAATAGTGGGAAAGTCACTATTGTTAAGAATAAAATAATAAAAGTTTAAGAAGTGATTATTTTGGTATAAACACTAATCTTTGTTCACTTGAATGGATCTCGAAGAAAGTGATTGAATAGATTTGAGAAGATTTGAAGATAAATTTTTTTGTTGTTTATTTGAGTGAATTTGGAGGTAATTGAGAATGAATTTGAAAACAATAGTTTGTCAGAATTAATGTAGGATTTGATTGATGTGACAAACTAAAAGAATTTATTTCCAAATACATTCTCACTTAACTCCAAATTCACTCAAATAAATAACTAACAAAATTTATTTTTAAATCTTCTCAAATCCACTCAATCATTATCTTCCAAATCCATTTGTGTGTTCAGAATCTGGGTTTATCTTTTCTTATCTAACAATAATAAAAAGTAATTTTAGTTCTACAAGCAACATGTTGCTTCCCGTAACTACACTAATAAGTAATTTGTATAAAGTTGTTGTATTTTATATAATTAGTAAATTATATAAAGCTTGTTAATTAATTAATTAATTAGTAAAAATATAGTAATTAATAAATGTGTAACTATTAAGTTATAATCATCTAATAAATAAAATAGAATATTAATTTTAAAAATTTATTTAATTAATAAATTTATTGTAATTAAAGTTGTAAATTGAATAATTAAATTAGTGTAATAAATAATAATAATTTTAATTAATTATATTAAGCGGCGAATGTGTCTGAAATATTAATACAAATTATTTTAAACTAAAAGATAATATTAAAAATAAAGGATTTAATTAATTTAAAAAATGAAAAAGGTTAAACTGAATTTAAATAAAATGCTAAATGACCGAAAGTATAATTTAGTTTTTATATATAAAAAAGAATGATAAATCGTAAGATGACTTGCAAATTGTGATGGATTCGAACGAGTAAATAATTGTCTTTTCTATAAACTCAAGATATCACAGAAATTTGTTGTGTAAAAAGAAAATCATGAAAACTTATCAAAATTAGTTACTTTTAATTTATTTTAATAACCTCAATTTTAATAAATATTTAAAATATGTTACAATGACTCATAACTCAACTTAGTTTCTACTTCAATCTATATAATATATAAGAATATTATATTAAGGTTAACTTTAAAGTAATAGGATTATGAATTTTCATTTCGATGTTTTTAAATCGATGAATGTAGCACTAAAAAATTTCTAACGAAAATGAATTCCTAAAATGAAGTGATTTTGAGAAATAAAGTGATGCGATTTCGTTTAATATTCAGATATGCCATGAGCAGTAGGAATTAGGAATACTTGGACATAAAACAACTCACTTGAATATTGAAATTAAAAGTGCTTAGTGCACAAAATATAGATTTCAGAACAAGAGAAATAGGTAAGTTGTGAAGTGTTAAGTTTCAAGAGGCTGAAGAATTAATTTGGGATTCTTCTCTTGAGATTTTGTTTTCTTTTTGGGGGAGAAGGGTCGAATAATGAATCGTGAGAAGCGGCTCAAGTGATCCTGGAGTCCTTCCATCTGGTAATGACCAAACCGCCAATCTCGATCTATATAAGGTCGCTGTACTGGCTCATCAAGTCCACCTGTCACGAGAACCAAGAAGACTTCTTAGAAACTTTTCTGTATAACCCTCACAAGAAAATTCTAACTATGTCTATACCTATGAACATAAGCTTTTAAATGTTTCACATGGATTAACATAGCCAAACATTTTCTTTTTCAACATGATCACCTTGACACAAGGTGCTATATTTGCCTGGCGTAGCCTTTCTCAAAGGAGCCAAAACCCAAATTCAGCGGGAGGCATTCAGGTCTGAGGGAACAGTATTCTGATACATGGTCTGAGGGAACAGTATTTTGGGACTAATGTATAGCAGGTTCATTTTTCTTAATTATAGGCATATGCAATCTCAATTAGACATTCTAAATCTAACTGCCGTGGATCTAAAATGGGTTTTATATAATTATAGTTGATTTGGTTCACAGTCCATTGTAATTGATTGTCTTGACTGAAGTAATACTTATTATGCAACTGCTGTCTAAGCCATTAACTATTGGGTTTTCATGTAAATTGTTGCCAAAGTGGCAAGGCATCAACTAAATTAACAAGGCGAGATCATACTAATACAGTTAAAGAACAATCGGAAAACTTTGCAATCATATCATGAGTAAATAATTACCTGCATACATTAAACGGTGTTTATTCACAGCCCGATAAAATGGTCTCGTTTTCTTCTCTTTGGCAGCTCTTTGGAGTTCATCCCATGCTCGTTCACGATCTTCACGTGTAACTTTGCCCGTGTTCACAATCTGCAATCAAGAGCCCATAGGAAGTGATTCAAAACTAGACAGAGCAAATGTCACGGAAAAGCAAATACAGACAGAGAGTTCGAACTTTAGAAAATAGATGATAAGAGGGGCGAGGGATCCGTGCAAGATTATTTGCCCGGTCAACTGCAACAAGTCCGAACTTGGGACCATATCCATCGGCCCATTCCCAGTTATCAGAAATAGTCCAGAACAGGTAACCAAGTACACGTACACCCTGTAGAACAATTATTATAAAAATTCTACAATCAAATTGGTGTTTATGAAATAATAAGTTAATTTTAAGGAAATAAAATTTAATCCACTATCAAAACCATTTTTATGGCAGCATAAACAGCTAGCAAATGCTCCAAGAGATATGGCCGGCGGATCAAATCTGTCTCATCCGAAACCCCATTTTCAGTAATGATGAAGGGAATTTTTAGATGTCTGTATCTTTCATGGAATTGAAGCAACATGCGGTATAAGCCATCAGGGTATACCCCACGACCAGATTCACTATACTCATCATTTTCCACCAGCTTCAGGCCTGCCCCCGAAACCACTTCCTGAAATAAATGTCAGAATTGATAGTGTGTATGCCAGATTTCATCCATAGTGCATGTCAAGGTTAATAAAGCAAACCTGCCCATAGTAGTTTATGCCTATATAGTCCAGCTTTTCAGATATTCCATCAATGTATGGGAAGAGAGTCAATGAAT